GCAGGCAGGGGCAGAGCAGCTCCCCCAAGTGCTAACACCTGAAAATCAGCACAGCAGGCCCCTCCCCCAGAAGACCAGCTAGACGGACCAGTGATACTCCCCCGTGTTCCAATACAACTTGTTTTTGGCCACTCTGCACTGAGCAAAATGACTAGAAGGAAAACCTCACCTCAAAAGAAAGAATCAGAAACAGCCCTCTCTCCCGCAGAGTTACAAAATCTGGATTACATTTCAATGTCAGAAAGCCAATTCAGAAGCACTATTCTACAGCTACTGGTGGCTCTAGAAAAAAGCATTAAGGCCTCACGAGACTTCATGACTGCAGAATTTAGATCCAATCAGGCAGAAATTAAAAATCAATTGAATGAGATGCAATCCAAACTAGAAGTCCTAACGACGAGGGTTAACGAGGTGGAAGAACGAGTGAGTGACATAGAAGACAAGTTAATGGCAAAGAGGGAAACTGAGGAAAAAAGAGACAATCAATTAAGGGACCATGAAGACAGATTAAGGCAAATAAATGACAGTCTAAGGAAGAAAAACCTACGTTTAATTGGGGTTCCCGAGGGCGCCGAAAGGGCCAGAGGGCCAGAATATGTATTTGAACAAATCCTAGCTGAAAACTTTCCCAATCTGGGAAGGGAAACAGGCATTCAGATCCAGGAAATAGAGAGATCCCCCCCTAAAATCAATAAAAACCGTTCAACACCTCGACATTTAATAGTGAAGCTTGCAAATTCCAAAGATAAAGAGAAGATCCTTAAAGCAGCAAGAGACAAGAAGTCCCTGACTTTCATGGGGAGGAATATTAGGGTAACAGCAGACCTCTCCACAGAGACCTGGCAGGCCAGAAAGGGCTGGCAGGATATATTCAGGGTCCTAAATGAGAAGAACATGCAACCAAGAATACTTTATCCAGCAAGGCTCTCATTCAAAATGGAAGGAGAGATAAAGAGCTTCCAAGACAGGCAGGAACTGAAAGAATATGTGACCTCCAAACCAGCTCTGCAAGAAATTTTAAGGGGGACTCTTAAAATTCCCCTTTAAGAAGAAGTCCAGTGGAACAATCCACAAAAACAAGGACTAAATAGATATCATGATGACACTAAACTCATATCTGTCAATAGTAACTCTGAACGTGAATGGGCTTAATGACCCCATCAAAAGGCGCAGGGTTTCAGACTGGATAAAAAAGCAGGACCCATCTATTTGCTGTCTACAAGAGACTCATTTTAGACAGAAGGACACCTACAACCTGAAAATAAAAGGTTGGAGAACCATTTACCATTCAAATGGTTCTCAAAATATACCCTAAAAACTATAGAACACTTCTGAAAGAAATTGAGGAAGACACAAAGAGATGGAAAAATATTCCATGCTCATGGATTGGCAGAATTAATATTGTGAAAATGTCAATGTTACCCAGGGCAATTTACACGTATAATGCAATCCCTATCAAAATACCATGGACTTTCTTCAGAGACTTAGAACAAATTATTTTAAGATTTTTGAGGAATCAGAAAAGACCCCAAACAGCCAGGGGAATTTTAAAAAAGAAAACCATATCTCGGGGCATCACAATGCCAGATTTCAGGTTGTACTACAAAGCTGTGTTCATCAAGACAGTGTGGTACTGGCACAAAAACAGACATATAGATCAATGGAACAGAACAGAGAACCCAGAAGTGGACCCTGAACTTTATGGTCAACTAATATTCGATAAAGGAGGTAAGACTATCCATTGGAAGAAAGACAGTCTCTTCAATAAATGGTGCTGGGAAAATTGGACATCCACATGCAGAAGAATGAAACTGGACCACTCTCTTGCACCATACACAAAGATAAACTCAAAATAGATGAAAGATCTAAATGTGAGACAAGATTCCATCAAAATCCCAGAGGAGAACTCAGGCAACACCCTTTTTGAACTTGGCCACAGTAACCGGAGAAGGACAAACAGTGTATGTTCTCATTCATTTGGGGAATATGAATAATAGTGAAAGGGAATATAAGGGAAGGGAGAAGAAAGGTGTGAGAAATATCAGAAAGGGAGACAGAACATAAAGACTTCTAACTCTGGGAAATGAACTAGGGGTGGTGGAGGGGGAGGAGGGCGGGGGGTGGGGGTGAATGGGTGACGGGCACTGAGGGGTACACTTGATGGGATGAGCACTGGGTGTTATTCTGTATGTTGGTAAATTGAACACCAATAAAAATTAATTTATAAAATTAAAAAAAATAAAGATGTAAAGATGTATGCTTAAACTGCCTGGGACAGTGCCTGGTGCCTAATAAATATGAGCTATTAAAAAAAAAAAAAAAAAAAAAAGAAAACCCTAAAGATTCCAGCAAAGAAACTACTAGAACTGATAATGTATTCAGTGAAGTTGCAGGATATAAAATTAATACATAGAAATATGTTGCATTTCTATACACTAATGAAGCAGCAGAAAAAAAATTAAGAAAATAAGCCCATGGACAACTTGTACCAAAAAGAAGAAAATACTTAAGAATATACTTAACCAAGGAGGTGATAGATCTATACTCTGAAAACTGTAAAACATCAATGAAAGAAACTGAAGACAACACAAATGGGAAGATATTCCATACTCCAGAACCAATATTGCCAAAATGTCAATAGCCAAAGCACTTTACAGATTTAATCCAATCCCTATTAAAATACCAACAATATTAAAAAAAATACCAATAATATTTTTCACAGAACTAGAACAAACAATCCTAAAACTTGTATGGAACCACAAAAGACCCCACAAATTAGCCAGGGCAATCTTGAGAAAGAACAAAACTGAAACCCCAGATTTCAAAATACACTGCAAAGCTGTAGCAATCACAGAATTATGGTACTAGCACAAAAACAGACACATAGATCAATGGAACAGAAGAGATTCCAGAAATAAATCCACACTTTTACGGTCAATTAATAGTAAAGTAGGCAAGAATATACAATGGAAAAAAGACAGTCTCTTCAACAAATGGTGTTGGGAAAACTGGACAGGTACATGCAAAAGAACGAAACTGAACTACCATACACAAAAAATAAATTCAAAATGAATTAAAGACCTAACCATGAGAGCTGAAACCATAAAATTCCTCAAAGAAAACAGAGGCAGTCATTTCTTTGACATTGGCCATATAAACATTTTTCTAAATATGTCTCTTTGACCAAGGGAAACAAAAGCAAAATTAAACTATTGAGATTATACCAAAATAAAAGACTTTTGCACAGTGAAGAAAACTATGAATAAAACAGGAAGATCACCTATTGAATGGGAAAAGATTTTGCAAATGACATATTTGATAAGGGGTTAATATCCAAAATAAAGAAAGAACTTACACAACTCAATACCAAAAAAGTAAATGATCCAATTTAAAATGCCAGAGGACTTGAATATACATTTTTCCAAGGAAGACATATAGATGGCCAACAGACGCATGAAAAGATGTTCAACATCACTCATTGTCAGGAGAATGCAAATGAAAACTACAATGAGCTATTACTTCACACCTGTCAGAATGGCTAGTATCAAAAACACAAGAAATAACAAGTGTTGGCCAGGATGTAGAAAAAAAGGACTCTCTTGTATTATTGGTAGGAATGCAAATTAGTGCAGCCACAGTGGAAAAGAATATGGAGGTTCCTCACCAGTAATTCCACTACTGGGTATTTTACCCAAAGGATATAAAAACACTAATTAAGAAAGATGTATGCACCCCTATGTTTGTTGCAACATTATTTATCATAGCCAAATTATGGAAGCAACCCAGGTGCCCATCCATAGATCAATGGACAAAGATGTGGTATATATATAGATACACACACACACACACACACACACACACTTACACACTGGAATATTATTCAGTCATAAAAAAGAATGAGATCTTGCTATTTGCAAAAACATAGATGGAGCTAGAGATTATAATGGTAAGTGAAATAGGTCAGAGAAAGACAAATACCATATGATTTCACTCACATATGGAATTTAAGAAACAGAAAAAAGAAGAGACAAGCCAAAAAAGACTCTTTACTGATGATTTTTTTTTACCCCATGCCCCCACCCTTCAGCAACCCCCAGTTTGTTTCCTATGATTGTCTCTTATGATTTGTCTCCCTCTCTGATTTCATCTTATTTTTCCCTCCCTTCCCCTATGACCCTCTGCTTGGTTTCTTAAATTCCACATGTGAATGAGATCATATAATTGTCTTTCTCTGATTGATTTATTTCACTTAGCAAAATATCCTCCAGTTCCATCCACATTGTTGCAAATGGCAAGATTTCATTTTCTGATTGCTGAATAGTATTCCATTGTGTATATATGTATATACACACACATATATATACATATATACATGTATATATACCACCTATATACACACACACATATATATATATATATATATATATATATATATATATATATATATATATACCACATCTTCTTTATCCATTCATCTGTCGATGGACATCTGGGCTCTTCCCATAGTTTGGCCATTGTGGACATTGCTGCTATAAACTATGGGGTGCAGGTGCCCCTTCAGATCACTCCATTTGCATCTTTGGGGTAAATACCTAGTAGTGCAATTGCTGGGTCATAGGGTAGCTTTATTTTCAACTTTTTGAGGAACTTCTGTACTGCAAAAAACAGACTCTTAATACAGAGAACAAACTGGTGGTTGCCAGAGGGGAGGTGGGGAATGATAGGTGAAATAGATGAAGGGGATTAAGAGCACATTTATCAAGATGAGCAGTGAGAAATGCATAGAACTGTTGAATCACTATACTGTGCATCTGAAACTAATATAACACTATATGTTAACCATGCTTGAATAAGATATAATAACATCAACAACAACAACAATAATAATAATAATAAACAGGGACACTGGAAAGCTTCCTCTCCCTGCTGCCCCTCCTTAGTTCTCTGTCACTTCCCTTGCTCTCTGGCAGGCTGACCCACCACACGACCTCTTAATGTACCTGCATGTCTGAGTTGGTGAAGCTGCAGGCCGACAAGTAGTTGGTGTGCATTGCGACAGACTTCTTTTTGGCAGCCATGTTTTCATTTTTGTCAAACGTCAGTGGATACACAGAACACTTATTATCCAAGCCACTAGCATGGGAAGAAAAAAGTGTCAAATGCTAATTTAAGAGAATGGAATACATGTATACTTTCTCATTCATGTAATCTTTTCAAAATGTTTTCCCTTGGCCACATCATATATTATAAGCTTTCCTCCAACTTTGAAGATTTTAAATGTATTGTAAAACTGAAAGAAAAAATAGTACAATGAGCACCCAGATACCTATATTCACTAACTTAGCATTTTGTCATATTTGTGGCAGCAAATTCTGAACCCATTTGAAGGTAAATGCAGACATGACATGTTACATTTAAGTACTTTAATTTGCAAATTTACCTCTTCTAAAAAAAAAGAACATTCTCCTAGGTAGCCACTGCATCATTATCACATCTGAAAAAACTAACACAAATTTCATAACAGGAGGTAATAAGCCATCCATATTCAATCTTCCCCATTGTCCCTGGGAGCCAGGGCCCAATCAAGGTTCACACGTTGCATTCAGCTTTTATAGCAGCTGCTACTTCTTCTTCTTCTTTTTTTAAGGTTTTACTTATTTGAGAGAGAGAGAGAGAGAGAGAGAGAGAGACAGCATGAGTGAGGTGGAGGGGCAGAGGGAGAGGGAAAAGCAGGGACCCTTTTGAGCAAGGTGCCCAACTTGGGGCTCCATCTCAGGACTCTGGAATTATGATCCAAGCTGAAGGCAAACGCTTAACCAACTGAGCCACCCAGGCGCCCCTGCTCAATTTAGTTTTTGATGCTCTTTTCTCATCCACTGGACCCCATATTTTAAATGTTTCTTGATATTTCACCAATATTTACACCCAGAGCTCCCTCTGCTTTTGTTTCCTAACAAGCTGTGAGGCAGTCATTGCAGGCACTGACCATCTATCACATGCCGGGGCCAGGAGACAGATATGAGTGAGATGAAGGCACAGCCATTCCTCCTCCCTGAGCTCTCACTCTGAACCATGCTGTTACCAACAACCTGTCTACCTGGGCCCTATCAATTATTCTCTTCCCTGCTGGTCCCCTGCCCTCATGAAAATTTTCCCACTGGGTTCAAGCAAGAAATAACTGACAGAACCATTTTCCAAATTACTGTTAAAGACATTGTTCACGGGGTGTCTGGAGGGTTCAGTCAGTTAAGTGGCTGACTCTTGATTTCCACTCAGATTGTGATCTCAGGGTCAGGAGATGGATCCTTGCATCAGGCTCTGTGCTCAGTGGGAAGTCTGCTTGAAGTTCTCTCCCTCTGCCCCTACCCCCCTTGCTTTCTCTAAAAAAATAAATATAAAACAATAAAGACATTGGTCACTATATTATATATCCATTGCATATTGCAGAAGGATCTACCCAATATATTCTTTTTGTAATACAGGATCAGATAGCTGATATCTCAGTATCAAATATTGAGAAATTATGTAACTCCTCCAACTCTATGCATGTGCTACCATTAATGCCCAGTTAGAAACATATTATCCCAGAGTATTTAAAAATGTATTTACTATTTCTAATGAGTAAGGGCTCTTTCAAGGAGAAAAAAAATCTCTTATGCATTGGGGCAAAATAATCAACTTCATGGCTTTTTTTTTTTTAACTGATTTCTCCTGACCCCCAGGCCAAGGACACGAAGCCATCATTTATGGTGATAAATGATGGTCTCCCTGCCACGTCCCTCCAAGTCTAGCTAAGGAGCATTAAGCTAGACTTGAGGAGATGGATCTCATTCAAGTATAAACTATAAATAAAATCTAAAGCTTGTAAAAAAAAAAAAAAGCTGTCCTCTCATAGGAGAGGTCAGCTTTTATCCTTGGCTGCTGGGGTCATCCCTGAGCCCCTGGAATGGCCTGCCTGCCCGGAGAACAGCTTTGGCTAATAGACAATCTAACAGTGTGATTTTTGGTGGGGGCTTCAGGACATGCATGGTGAGTTCCGACCTCCTCAGATGAACAAGAAACTAAAGATATTTGCCTAAACCTCTAGGACATACTGGAGACTGACGGCCAGCCACATAGGCAGTATGTGATTGAGCCCCAGTAAAAACTCTTGGCACCAAAGACTCAGGCGAGTTTCCCTGGCTGATAATACTCCATGTACCATCAAGCGTAGTGGGCAGGAGGTAATGCCGTCCATGACTCCACAGGGAGGGGACAATGGGAAGCTCTAGGTTTAGACCCCTCCTAGACCCTGTCCTGTGTACCTCTTCCTTTGGCTGGTTCTAATTTGTATCCTTTCACTGTTTTAAAACTGTGAGCCTAAGTATTATAGCACCTTCCTGAGTTCTGTGGTTGTTGTAGCAAATTATCAAACCTGAGGGTGGTTATGGGGACTCCCAAATTTGTGGCTGATATCTAAAGTGACAGAAGTTTTGCGGGGACTGTGTCTCCTAACTATACAGCTGGCCAAACTCCCTTACACTTATCTTAGTGTATGTGTGTATATACACACCTACAGCTAATTAAATGTATTATATATGTAGCGTATATAAATACATATACATCTATATATATCATGTGTGTATGTGTGTCTTCTATTGTGCTTACCTCATATTATTACAAGAAGTAAATGGGAATGAATTTTATATAAATATTACCATTCTGTTATAAAATGGAAATACAGCCTACTTTTGAATTATTAAAAAAATTAGAAAATATAAAATACATGTGTGCGAACATGGGTTCCAAAGGTACACAGGGTCTTGGCAAATGGAGAGTGAATGGAAATATGCCCCCAAACATCCACGAAAAGGGAGGGATGTTGAGGATGACCACTGGTGTGACTCTGGTTGGAGAAGGCTCCAAACTTTTTGCTTGGAGACCAAGGGTTTTCATTTTTGAATTTTTGAAACTTTTTTCTCCTGATTATAAAAATAAATATGTTTATTTTTAAAGATGGAAAATTATAAAGAGAGAGAAAATTACAAAAATTATAAAAAAAGAGAAAAACCCCATAGTCCCATCATCCACAAAGAACTATTATTGGATGTTTTTGGTACAGTTCATCACAGACTTGTTAATGCCTCCTTTCTAAACATGGCTGGGAACCTATGATAGAGACATTTTGGATGGTTCCAGAATTAACACAAGGACAGAAAATTATGTTAGTTACAGTTCTCACTGCCAACTCTGTTAAACTGAGCTCTAGGAGAATAGGGAATAAAACACAATCTCCCTAGCAACCTGGATGTTCTTTTCACTTACTGTAACTAAGAAGTTTCCTTTTTAATGGTTGTATAAAATATTCCCTTCAACTCATGTACTACAATTCACTTAATGATTTCCTTTGATGGACACACTATCCCTCCCCACCCCTCTTTTTTTTTTAATTTTAAATAACGCTACAATATTATTGCTTGTATGGAATTTCTATATTTTGGGTCCTTCCTTTCAAACAAGTTCTTAGATGCGGAATCACTAGATCAAAGGTTATAAATTTTTCAAGGCTTCTGATACACATTACCAACATGTTTTCCAAAATGTTTGCACCAATTTATAGTCCCCACCAACAGCATTCAAGAGTAGAGGGGGCAGGTTTGAAATTCAAGCTACCTTTGGTCTGTAATGAAAATAAGCATTTGTAGTTTCTTCTTTCATGAAGTTCAGGGAGGAACTGAACACATCACATCGTGTAGTCAGTAAACAACAAAAACAGTAAGTTCTTGTTTGTTTGCTTGTTTTTGCCCATCGAATGGTATTTTATGGCTAATGGGAGATCTGAAAAGCTGCTGCTACTTACCCACATGCAATGGCACATCCCGACGGGGCGTACGCACACGCCATCACCCATGTGCAGGGCATAGTGACCGCGTGCTCCTGAAACACAGTATGCAAGCTTCATAGAAGGAATGAGCAGTGCTTCCACACAGATGTATTAAAGTTTACTTTTCACAAAATGAAATTACTGGAGTTCCTGCTAAATCCCATTACCATTTGAAAGGGCAGTGGTGTGGGGTGAAGATCAGTTTGGGACTGACGAGGAGACTCAGCCCTTCATAATCAACTAAAGTGCATGTCATATATTCTGAGAGCTAAAAATCCCAGCCAGCAAAACAACACTTGTAACATTTTACTTCTCTCTCTCTTTTTAATTAATTAATTAATTTTTAAAAGATTTTATTTATTTACTCATGAGAGACAGAGAGAGAGGCAGAGACCCAGGCAGAGGGAGAAGCAGGCTCCATGCAGGGAGCCCAATGTGGGACTCGATCTGGGGTCTCCAATATCATATCCTGGGCCAAAGGCAGGTGCTAAACCACTGAGCCACCCGGGCTGCCCTCTCTCACTCTTTTTAGAAAGATTTAGTTATTTGAGAGAGAGAGAAAACAAGCAGGAGGAGGAAAGAACCCTTAAGCAGACTCCCCGTTGAGCATGGAGCCCCTACATTGTGGGGCTCAATCTCACGACCCATGAGATCACAACCTGAGCTGAAACCAAGAGTCAGATGCTCAACCAACAGAGCCACCCAGGCACCCCTACTTATTTCTTAATGTTATACTCCCCTGGGTCTTCTGAATGAATAGGGGGCCCCATCTTCTTTGAAAGGTCTGTTTGATTTTCACTTCAGTTATTTGCTTTACCTTATTTACTTAGATTCCCCCTATTTTCAATATCTATTCTAAATGATTCTACACGTGTGTTGTGTTGTTTCCTTGGGAAACAAGAGTCTCTGTCCCCCGTGGGCCCTGAAAGCAGTCCTGGGAAGGTCTGAGTGGGGGCAGGGGTGGGCAGAGTGGTCCTGAGTTGTGCTCACAGGTGATAGAGGACCTGTAACATGGAAGCAATGAGAACTAGGTGTGGCAGTTCCTGCTCCTGGCTGGTGGTCGGGTCACCATGTTCTCCTGAATGCCAAGAGGCAAACAACAAAGCCACAATGTAAAACCCTCTGAGTCTGTGGTCTTATTTTCATGAGAAACATGGACGCTGGTTCCTGGTTCCCACACCAGCAAGATGTATGGCCCCATCCAGGCCAGCCATCTGGGGAAACCATCAGTAAAGGGAGAGGATGATTCCTAAAGTACATTCGAGTGCCTGTCTTCTTTCCTGTTATGATTCACTGTGTTTTTGTGGGAGAAACACAGGCCCTGATACTGCTTGTGGAAATTCTGACACAGTCTATAGCCTTTCAGATGCCAAGAATAATCCACTGTGGCAAATGGCCACTCTCACCAGAAGGCACTCCAGGCCCCATTCCTTATAAGTAATAACTATGTTTCCTGCCAGAGGCCACAGTGGCAACACCACGGCTCCCCAGAAATCAGTGTGTGCTCGATGACATGCAAGGCTTAAACAGTAGCCATAGAACCCCACACGCTACTCAGGATGCTAAGGTGCGCTGGGAGAAGCACAGGCTTCCGTGGAGGGAGGGGCAGGATGGGAAAGCCCCTTGCAGACTGTTAAGTTGCCATCTTTATTATTCCCCGGGGGCCTGACCATTAGCGACTCTGCTCCAAAAGATGGTTCTGGCACCCAGAACCGCCCCCCATCAGGTTGTGTAGCAACTGCTTACCACAACACTTAACTAAACACATTCAGTAATGCAGAATATGGATGCTGTTCAGTTTGAAGCAGATAGAGGTCTGTCTTATATAGGGATAAAGAAGACCTTTATACGTAAATGACAGAATCAGTATTTAATACTCAATAGTTGTTACTACAAATGGCAACCTGATGCAGGCTTGTAAGCACATCTACACATAGATTTTGGCCTTTCACTTTAGTTAAGAGTCTAAATGTAGGGGATCCCTGGGTGGCTCAGTGGTTTGGCGCCTGCCTTTGGCCCAGGGCGCGATCCTGGAGTCCCGGGATCGAGTCCCGCGTCGGGCTCCCGGTGCATGGAGCCTGCTTCTCCCTCCTCCTGTGTCTCTGCCTCTCTCTCTCTCTCTATGTCTATAATAAATAAATAAATAAATAAATAAATAAATAAATAAATAAATAAATAAATAAATCTTTTAAAAAAAAGAGTCTAAATGTAAGTCCAGTTTGGAACTGAGCACGCCCAGGCCAGATTGCCTGGATATCACTGGACAGTCACCTCAACACCCCCTACACCCTCAACTTCCCCACCATTGTCGGCTCATGTCCACGGTGCTACAGAGTCTGGTCAAAGGCACAGAGGGCAGAGATAGCTGGGGATTCATGAACCTCTTACCATCACTTAGAAGAAAAATAATAAATGCACATGTGAAGGTGACAAGCTTTCCAGGCCAGCCTGCCTGGTTTTAGTGCTAGCATCGTCTCTGGGGGCTCTGCATGCTCTTGCCCGGGTGAGGGGCTTCAGCCCTGGAGAGGAACTGACACTGCCATGGGCTGCTGAACTATCTGAACACAGATGGGCCTCTTCCTGAGGTTTGCTGTCCCCAGACAGGCACCCAAGAAGCAGGATGACCATGACTAGCGGTATTTGGAGGGGAAGAGGACAAGGCTGGGGTTCTGGGGTGCTGCTCAGTGCACCAGGAACAATATCTTACCTTGTTAGTAGTGAAGGAATCCCACACGATCACCTTCCCATCCTGGAGGGAAAAGAGTAAATAAACAGCTCAGGAGTTGTCAGCCAGTCCTTATAAGGTAACTGCTGAGAACTGCTCAGAAGAGCCGTGTCTGGGTGGGCAGTGTGCAGGACAAAGCCAGAGGAAGTACCTGGGTAATCAACACCCTCCAGCCTATCTTTGAACAAATAGGGAGTAAATGGGGGACCGAATGGGCCAGCCTGATTAAAGGCTCAGTTCTCAACTTCATACTCCTCACAGGAATACAAAGACTTCTATACCATTTAGAAACCAAGCCCTAATTGTTGGTACATTGTCATCACCCACCATACCCTGCCAAAAAGCTATATGGGGGTGAGACAAACCTGAAATTATCTCCAGGTACTTGACAGGTAACTAATGGTCTCTTACTTTCTTCCTCGCCACCCCCACTAGCCATCCTGGGTACTGTGCCTTGTGCTCCCTGCAGGCTGTGTCAGAGCCCCACCCTCATTCCTGGCCCACTTCTTGGAGCTGTGTGGGCCTGAGATCAGCCTAACTTCCCCTGACATTTCACATCTATAGTGAGAATGACATCTATCATGGTAGGGATCCCCTGTGGGAACCTGTAGAGGATGGGCCTGGGTTGGCAATGCAACCTCCATTGTAACTGCTGCTGCAGACCACACTGGGGTTGTGGGGAGTCACCAAGGTGTCATCTATGTGTAATACAAACCCACTGGAGATAATTCCACACGGGCCTTGGTCCCTACAATGCTGTCACCTGCCCAGCACATGGTGTGCAGGTCCTCTGGGCCCCCAGGCTCTGCCTGGCAGAGGAAGAAGATGGAAGATTCTGTAGCCTCCATGGCAGACTTGGTTTTTGTAATCACTGAAGCCGTTTGGAGCCAAATCTGAACAATGAGGTGAGGGCAGAAGAGATGCCGCTTAGAGGTACAAGCAAGGTCTGATTATCTAAAGTGACACAGTTGCTTTCTTTGTATAATCTATTGGAAGATTTCCATATTCCCTCTGTGTGTGGCTGAAGGGCCCAGAAACAAAGTCAGAGTGGGCAACCTGGAGCCTTTCAAAACTCCTAAGCACACTGGTTCTTCCAGTCTCATTTCTTTAACTAAACGCCCAAACACAACAATATATGGGGTAGATTAAGGTAACAGAGCAGAAAACAGAGATGGAGCTTCAGGCTTGCACCCTGGGGTCCTCCACACCCGGAGCCTCGCCTGCTGTGCCGGGGGACTGACTCAGTGCATTGCCCAAGTTGGTGTTCCCTTTGGTGTCTTCCTCCACACACTGCCTGCCTGCCTGTCCCACTGCCCACCCACTGTGTTCACGGGAGAGAAAAAGGCACCCAAGAGGCTAAAATCAGCCATAAAACCAAATGTGGGCCTCTCCACGAGCACAGATTTATACATCAGGAGCCCATGTACCTGGAGAGACCGCCTCCACCCAAGCCCTAACCTACGCAATCAGGCTGATTAATCTCCTGCCTTCAAGGGAGAAGGGCTGCTCTGAGTCACTGCGTCTGCTCCAGAATGTTCCTACTGTTTCCAGCTTCCTCCCACACCCACCCCACTATAGCAGAGGTGGATGGATGGAGCATGTCAGTGGTGCTACTCCTCCCTAATAAGAACAGTACACGAGTGACAGAAAAACCCAACATATATTATACTTTTAAGGATAAAGAAAGTCAAAAAGGCTAGGTAGCAACATGTATATCTTGAGAATCACTTCATAAAAAAAAAAGTCTGGAAAGAAATGCTCTAAAATAGTAATAATGCTTGCGACAGAGTGGTGGGAGTAAAGCCACTTCTTTATTCTCTTTCGCAGTGTCTTTTTAATGCGGTCAAATACCTAAGAGATAAAATTTTTTATGAACATGAAAGAAAGCAAGTACAAAGTGACAATATTAGATCTGTAGGTAATATAGGAGATTAATGACACCTGTCCTTATCAAACACAAGCTGACATAGGCGTTAGAGTGTGTGGATTATTTAGAATATGCAGTTTTTATATATAAAAGGGCTAATAAAAAACCCCAAATGGTCCTTTGGAAGAGCAGGGCTGAAGGCAGGGATGGGGGGAGCCCAAACTGGCCATAAAAATCTATGACTTCAGTTTATAATTTTATATTCAATGCATGTTACATCAAAATAGGCATAAAAAGTACCAAGCAGTGATAACAGCCTCCTGATAGCCATACTTTTTTATCCCTCGTGGTCTTGGGGTTGGTCTGTGTGACTGGCAGAACATAGCAGAAGTGATGGAGCGTCACTCATGGCTTCAGCCTCTGGCTCCCTCTCTTGCTCTAGGGAAGGCTGGCTACGATCATGTAAGCTGCCCAGTGGAAAGGTCCACGTGCTGAAGAACTAGGGCTTCCGGCCAATGAGCCATTTTGGAAGTGAGTTTCTGCCTTAGCTGAACTGTGCCGTGACCTCGGCCCTGACCACCATCCTGGCTGTCACCACCCCCATGGTTCTCTGAGCCAGAACCACCCACACAAGCTGCTCCAGATTCCTGGCTCTCGGAAACCACGTGAAATAATAAATATTTGTGGTTTTAATTGCTGAATTTGGGGGTAATTTGTTATGCAGCAATAGATAACACTAATACATAAGATGTAAAATAAACTATGTCAACTAGATAAAATGAATGAAAAAAACAATACTCTACAAAATATGTACCTTACATTTGTTCTTTAAGGCATAAAAATTGATGAACTCTCAAACTGAACAAAGCCACAGCCATTTATGTGCTCAATTTCAATTTTGGGTAAAAAAAAAAAAAAACACTTTCTAAAAAAATGGTTTTATTCACAAATACAACTCTGAAAAATGCCAAGGAAGAAATAATTTTGAATAGTTTCTCAAACAGAGTTCATGTTTCAGTTATTACCAACTCCAAATCTAAAGTTACTGATATTCTACAGTATGCAAAGAATTCTTAACTATGCTAGCTCACATCCTGTGGGGAATAAGAAGTCAAAAAGGGCAAAAAAAGGTTTTTTGAAAAGGAAAGTGCTCTTTCTTCTTTAGCTATAAAGTTAGACACATGCTCACCATCACAGAGCAGGTGCCACATACCTGGGATGAGCTCACGATCCTTCTCTTATCTTTGCACCAGTCCATGCAGAGAACTTTGTTTCCATGGCCTTTGAGGGTCCTTCTGGTCTTCATGACAAACTGCCCCAGGGCTTCCACCCGCTCGGCCACCTGGTGCACTAGAAGGACAAGCTACAATCAGTTCTGTCACCAAGGACCAGATTCTGAGCCATATGCTGGCAAAGGGATGACACTGGTCTTTCTTTGTGGCCACAGATTTTCCTGATTTTTACTATTATACTTTCACAACGCTCTCTCTTAAACTCAGGAGAGGGTAGAGACAACACTGTCATTCTGTCTTTGTGCTTAATACCCTACAATCTTCAAAGCATTTCCATCTCTGTATGCTGAGAGATCTATAACAAGACTACTTCATATACATAGACTTCCTTCCTTCCTTCCACTCTACAGAATTCTCCCAATGGAGGGCTACAGCTCTGTGAGGTGGGCAGGGCGAGCAGCAGAGTGAGACCACTGTCCCCATTTAACAGGTGAGGAGACTGAGGCTCACAGGGGTTCTTTGGCTAAAACAAGTTCATTCAACCAACTGGGAGTAAAGCTGGAGCTTCTGGTTCTTTTACCTACCACTTTCCAATGGAAAAGTGACTCTACAAAAACTGTCCCATTAGGTGCCAGAATGTGCACCCATGCTGCTTGACAGATCCTAAGTGATTCCCCCGTACCTAGCTCTGGCCTGGGACATGAAGGTGCTCTATTCACTTGCCACAGGCAAGAATGAATGGGGCAGCCACTAAATGGTACACCCATGGGTTTACTGAAAACTTATGGTGTCAGTAGAGATCAATATTCTAGAAGTCTAAACACATGATCTACACAAGCAACCCACACCAGGGAGGCACTCCAAAAAGTAATCTTTCAGGGGCTGGGCTCATGGCCTCTTCCCCGAGAATCAAGAAGACCTTTCAAAGGCTTATCTTAGAGTCTGTCACTGAGCAGTATCAGGAGCCATGTTCCCATGAACAGACCGTCTAGTCCTGGCCTCACATCTAGAAGTGAGGAAACTGAGGCAGTGCCCCTGCCCTCTGGTTAAAGGCTGTGCCAGAGGCACAGGGCACCTAACAACCCCCTCCATTTCTCCTCCTCCAAACCTCCCAGCTGGGCTGTTCCCCAGGCAGGTGGGGAGGGAAAAGGGGCATTTGAGGCAAGGGACAGCCCCAGGAAAGGTGTGGTATCTTAGCACAGCAGCGCAACATGGGTGGTGGGAGGCAAGGCAGCTGACCCTCTTCCTTCCCGGGAGCTGCTGGAACTTGCTGGGGAAGTACCACCTCCCTCATAGAAACAGGGCAGAGAGGTCCAGACTGGACTGTGGTTTTGTTTTGTTTTTACATCAATTCATTTTTTAAAATTTAAATTCAATTTGCCAACCTATAGTATAACACCTAGTGGTCATCCCATCAAGTGCTTTCCTGTACCTGTCACTCAGTTACCCCATTCCCCCCACCTCCCCTTCTGCAACTCTTTGTTTCCCAGAGATAACAGTCTCTCATGGTTTGTCTTGCTCTCTAATTTTTCCCCACTCAGTTTCCCTCTTTTCCTTTATAGTTCCTTTCACTATTTCTTACATTCCACATATGAGTGAAATCATATGATAACTGTCTTTCTTCAATTGACTGATTTCACTCAGCATAATACCCTCCAGTTCCATCCACGTTAATGTAAATGGTAGGTATTCATCCTTTCTGTTGGGTAATATTCCATTGTATACATATATACCACATCTTAATCCATTCATCTGTTGAAGGACATTGTGGCTCCTTCCACAGTTTGGTTATTGGGGATATTGCCACTACGGACATTGAGGTGGACTGTGGTTTAAGGCCACGACAACAGTGCCCCTTCACAGAAATCCTCCCTCCTTCTCTCTAAACACTGCATTGTGTATTTCCTAAAAACAAGGAACTCTTACATAACTATAGTATATTACCAAAGTCAGAAAATTAACACTGAAACAATGCTATGTGCAATCTATGGACTTTACTGAGATACTTTCCATTGTCCCAATAATATCTTTACAGCAAAAGAAAATCCAAGACAAGGTGCTGCATTCAATTGTCATATTTCTTTAGTTTCCAGCTACTTAATTTCCCAGTGTGGGCTGGTCTGCTCAAGATCAGATTCAAGTGATGCGTACTTGGCAGGTACACCAAAGACTGATGCTGAGTCCCCACCAGCATGCCCCATCAGGAAGCACCTGCTGTCCGTTGGTCCTATCACTGGCACTGTTCACGCTGACCATTTGGTTGAGGTGGTGTTTGCCAGGTTTCCTCAGTGGAGAGTTACCATTTTGTCTTTTGTAATGAAAAAGTGTCCTGTGGGGATGTACTCTGAGACTACAGAAATACCCATCACTCTTCAAACTTGAATATCTTAACATCTGTTAATGATTCTTGCCTGAATTGGTTATAATGATAGTTGGCAAGTGATTTTCCTAATACCATCATACCCTCTGCATTTTTAGTTGCCTTTCTAATAAAAGGAGCTTCCTCTCCTCTTCAATGTATTTATTCATCCATCTATATTAGATGGGTTCATGGATTCTCACCTTATTCAAGGAGTTATAATCCTTTAGTATTATTATTTATTTTGATGCTCAACTAGTCCCTGATTTGCTCCGTAGGAGCCCCATCAAGCAAGCACCCAGGACCTCTGACATGTCCCTATCTCTCTAAGCACTTCTTATTCCAGGCTCAGGTTCTTTTCCTGCTCTGGCCCTAGAATCAGCTACTTCTCCAAGAAGCCTTGGTTTCATTTAGTTAACCCATTTTTTTTGTGTGATAAAAGAACATGAGTGTGAATAAGTTAAAAGTCTGTGAAAACCCAAACTATAAAAAATACTTGCTGAACTCTAAGGTATTATATGAAGGGCGTCTGGCTGGCTCCGCTGGTGGAGCATGCAACTCTTGATCTCAGGGTCATAAGGTAAAGCCCCACGCTGCATGTAGAGGTTACTTAAAAATAAAATCTTTAAAAAAAAGTACTACATGAATGTGCAGTTATTATGCTATCACTTCTGCTAAACATTGCATTATTTATTGCCAAATGGCACACTAGTATTTCATAGATACATTCTTAAAAACATACTGAATATAGTTTAAAGATAGTGAATTCTCTAAACTCTTATAGACTATTTACCTAAGTCTGAACCAGCTAAGAGCTGTGAGCATATTGTGTTTTGCTTTGAAACATCACATTGATATTATTGCTGCTTTCCCCAATTCAGCCTTGGGACAACCACAGCTGTTTTATGTTCTTCTCACAAAAATAAAAAAAAATTAATTAAAAAGATGGCTCATCCAACCGATATGGGGCCTTCCTTATATAATGTGAATCTGACCACATCCCAGATACTAATTATTTATCCTCACTGCATTTTCCTTTCCCATATATAGGTTTACTCACAACCCACTCCATCCTGCTTCTATTTGGCAAATCTCACATCTGTTAAGTTAAATAGCCTGAAGGATGCCTCCAGAACCCCTAGTATATGCCAAGTTCTATGCTGGATGCTTGGGGACAGAAAAGAATGAGACAGTCCCTGCTCTTCCTGCGCTCACCATCTGTAGGGGACAGACAGACCTGCAAACAGATCACAACTGCAGTGCAATGACAGAGGTGTCACGGAGCCAAAGGTGACATGGCTGACTCTGCTGGCAGGTGTGCCATCAAGAGGAGATGTCCCAGGTACCTGGTTTTGAAGGATCCATAGGAATTGGAGTAAAAGCAAGGGGAGGCTGAACTGCCTTCCAAATTTTGCACCAATATATAGTCTTTGGTGGCCACTATTTGGTAGAAGATCTAAGGAATTAAGGATGAAAAATTATCCAAAGCTAATTCTAAAAAACTCATTTTGCAACCCAAGTGTCCATTGATAGATGAACGGATAAAGAAGATGTGATACACACACACACACACACACACACACACACACGATGGCATACTTTTTGTAAAAAAAAAGAATGGGATCTTAAAATTTATGACAACATGGATGGATCCAGAGGGTATTAAGCTAGATGAAATAAGTCAGACAGAGAAAGAAAATATCATATGATTTCATTTACATGTGGAATCTAAAAAAAACCAAACAAACAAAAAGCAGAAGCAGACCCATAAATACTGAGAAGAGACTGATGGCCTCCAGAGGGGAGGAGGTGGGCGGATGGACAAGATGAGTAAAGAGTGGGAGATACAGGACTCCAACTATGGAGTAAAAAGTCATGGGGATAGAAGGAGATAGCATACAGAATACAGTCAATGATATTGTATAGAGTTGTATGGTGACAGATGGTAGCCACCCTTGTGGTGAGCACAGCATAACCCATAGAGTTGTCAAATCACTGTTGTACACCTGAAATTAATGTAACATTGTGCGTCAGCTATACTTCAATTAAAAAATACAAATATTTTAAAAGTTGTGTCTGATTCTATCCCTGGATCGCATAGGATGGGATAGAAACAAAACCCACAAACATTTGGAGGGAAGGAAATCATCTGCAATCATATTACCTCATTTGTGCTTGAGATTTTGGAATTGTTTCAAAACATACATTAGCTACACACAGAAAAAGTCTCCTCAGCATTCCCTGATTAAAAGCTGGATAGGCTAAGCTATGGTACAGTCCTTCAGATGGAGTACTGCATGGCTCCATATAATTATTCCAAAATATTGACATTAAAAAGAATGGTAAAATGACATGGGAGTTATTTAATCCATTGTGTTAAATTAAAATTAGGCTCCAACTCTAAATCTAGTGCAATTTAAAGTATGCTCACAAACAATATGCGCAAATATAAAATCCTAAGCTAGGAAATACATCAAAATATTAAAAGTGAGTACTTGTGGGTGGTGGGGTTATGAATGGCTTTTCTTCTATATTTCTAAATTTGTTATAGTGGGCATTAGTTTATTATGATGGTACCCTGGAGACACTTGTATTAGCTAGCTGGTGTGCAGGTATGAATGCAGAGCCAAAGCCAGGCAGGTTTGCCTTCTGCTCCCTCTCATGGCTGCAGGCAGCACGTGGAAGAGCAGCAGCGAGAGGATTAGGTTATGGGGAAACTCACTTCTAGCTTCAGGACACGCAGCATATCTCCTTAGAACATGGAAAAAGTCAATCAATATATTTGCTTCAGACTAATCCAGAAATTCAGTTTTCCTCGATTTCTCGCTACATCATAAAACCAGAACAGTTCAAGGCTCTGCCCATAATATAACCTTTGAAAATAAAACCTTTCACGAGGTTTCATTTAGAACAGATAGAAGAGTGAATAGCATCTGATGATAAGTCCTGTGACTTGCCCAAATTTCATCTGCATTTGTTCTTAGAGAAACTACATAAATCTTCTTTGAGTTGCTTTGTTCCTAGACTAGATTAGAATCTGCCCCAATGAAGCTGGGAATCTGGAAGAAGCCCCCCACAGCCCCATAAGGCTGCCATACATGTTGGCTGAAATAAACCACATGCCTCCTGCTCTGCTTTCAGCTTGTTTTCTGGATCATTCTTCAGTTTAATTTCAAGTTAAAGAGTCTGTAATGTTGAATTCTCTCCTTTGTTCTTGATCTTGACTCCCATTCCAGTACTCTTTTTTTTTTCTTATTATAAAAGCAGTAAATGCACAGATGGATATAAAGCAAAAGGTATCTCTACTTCCCCTCACTCTGCTGGGCCCTCTCCAGAGATAACTAGTTTCTCATGTATCCTGCCACAAATTCAATGCATATACCAGCATTCCTTGTTTAAGCTAATGAGATCATGTTATATATATGCTTGGGACTTTTTAAATTAATATTAATACCTTTTCATACACACACATGGATTTTTCCCCCTTTTAATGTAAATCTCAACTGCCTGAGAGATGGCCTAGCAGGGTGAGAAGGAGAGCTATCCTAGCAGCCTGAACTCTGGTGTCTACTCCCCATTCTTCCTTAGAGTAGCTGCAGAACCTTAGGGCATTCCCTTAACCCTTCCCTGGAGCTCAGCAGTCTCCTTGCCCATACAGGTCGTGGGGAGGAGAAGGAAATTTTTTGCACCTAAGGACTAAAGGTAAAGCGGACAGACCCTTCTAGTTTTGAGAGCTGTGTGATAGGACCTCCAAAGACATCCATGTCCTAATTCTTGGAGCCTGTACTTTACACGGCAAAAGGGGCTTTGCAGATGTGATTAAGAGTCTTGAGATAGGATGATTAATTACCCTGGTGTATACAGGTAGGCCCACTGTAATCACAAGTGTTCGTATAAGAGGGAGGCAAGGAAGGCAGAGTCAAAGTAGGTGATGTGATGACAGAGAGGAGGTCGGAGGATGTGGGACCACAAGCCAAAAATTGCAGGCAGCCTCTGGAAACTGAAAAAGGCAAGGAAGGGACTCTCTCCTAAAGCTTCCATAAGGAATGAAGCCCTGTTGACCCCAGTTTAGAATTCTGACATCCAGAACTGTAAAAAAATAAATTCATTTTGCTTTAATGTCCTGTGTTTATGGAGATTTGTACAATAGCAATAGGAAACATACAAGCCATAGGCTCATAATTCTAAAATGTCTTACAATCAAGCAAGGGAACACTTACCCTTGGCAGAAGGTAAGCAGAAGGCAATGAGGGGAGACATGTAGGGAGAAGGAGGAAGCTCTGGAGGAGTAACGGGAAAGGCAGGGGCACGGGGCCTGGGGCTATGGAGTTTGGTGTAGGTTGGCTTCCCCTTGGGCCACCCATATAAGCCAATTCCTCTACTTAATGTTGGTCAAGGGTCTGACTTGGGGATGAAGGTCCAACGGTATGGACGCTGGTCTAAGGGTCAAAGGGATGAGAGTTGAAGGGGCAAGGGTGTGGAGTTGGATGAAGTTTCCTTCTCCTCCAAGTTCATGCTATTTTGCTATGTTCTTAGGCAAGAATTTGGGCAAGTCAGAGCTAATGGAAGGCTGATCAACTGTCCCAGTTTGCCAAGGACTACAGGGGTTTTCAGAATGTAGGAACTTCCATTTTAAAACTGAGAGTCCCAGGCAATCTGGAATGACTTGGCCATCTCAGCTTGTGGCCTGAAAAGGTTCCCCAGCTCATGTAGGGCCTACAGGGCCATCTGTCTAACACCACCACAATGCAAAAATGACAGGCTCAATAAAAGGCTGAGAGACTGACAGGGAGGAGCTCAGTGATCATGGGTCATGGAGATCTCTGGAGGAGACAGTGTGGTCAGAGGAGGAGCATCTCTGAGTGCTAACGAGATCCAGGAGACTGTGATGGAATGAGAGGCCAGCGTGTGAGGAGGTCCCCCTGGTGAACCCTGAAGACACCAGGGATGGGGCAGGGCTTAGGTCAAAAGGAAGGCTCAAGCCATGTGGCGAATCCTTAAGAAACTAGGCAGTCTGGCTGGGAGGTCAGGAGCCAGCAGCATGGCGGAGGGGAAAACAGATGTCATTTGAGTGACAGGAGCCTCAAAGGAGCAAAGGTACTATACTGAAGTACAGGCGAAGCCATCGGTAAGCTGCAGGGGAAATAAAGGGGATCATGGCCACATGACTGCTGGTCTTGTTGACTCTAAAATTCTGACTTGTATGCAGGTGGGGACAGATCTTTCCACTGTGGGCCCAAAATCTGGCCCTGGCTTTTGAGGATATCGCATCCTTGGCAGGACTGGGGTTCCCTGCTGAAAAGCTCTATCCTGACTATCTCTCTGCCTTAAAGCCATTTCCCAAGTCACAGAAAAGGCTGAGAGGCTCCAGGCAGGCAGTCTGCCCAGCTGATGGAGTTTCTGGAACCTCCTCTGCACAGGGCCCAAAGGGATTGGACACAAAGTTGAAGTGAGGCCGGGCTGCAGTTCTGACTGTCTGGGCTGGAATCCTGGTCCCACTGCTTACTGGCTGCAGTCCTCTGGCCAAGTCCTTTCACTTTGCTGTGCCTCAGTTTCCTTACCTGTAATATGCAGAATTCAGACCTACCTCAGGGGTGCCAACACCGCCCTCACAGCATCATCGATAACATCTGCAGAATGTAGGAACTGGCAGAGTGAAATGAGGCAGGCTTTGTCCAGTGCCTCACAATCTCTGTTCCATAATGCTTCCTGACAACGGAAAGCCAGCTTTATTTGGGGGTGACAATGTGTCCAGCTCACTTCTCCCTTTCCCAGCTTCATTGCAGTAGCTTTGTGACCTATTTCTGGCCAATAAAGTGCAAAATCTGTTGGGAGAAAGGAGGTGTTGGGGAAGACTTCTGCTTTTCTGATAAGAGGAAGAAACAGACGGGATGCCTGCGTGGCTCAGCAGTTGAACGTCTGCCTTTGGCTCAGGGAGTGATCCCGGGGTCAGGATCGAGTCCTGCATCAGGCTCCTTGCAGGAAAACTGCTTCTCCCTCTGCCTATGTTTCTGCTTCTCTCTCTCTCTCTCTGTCTCTCGTGAATAAATAAATAAAATATTTTAAAAAAGGAGAAACAGAGGCTGGTGCCCATATTTCTCCTTGTCCTGGATACAAAGGTTATATTTGGAGCTGTGGAGGTCATATCATAATCACAGGGTAATGCCAATGTTCTCAGGGTGGTGGTGGAGAAAGACTGGAGCGTGGGTCCCTGATGGCATGCTGAGCAGCTGGACCAGAGCTGGTGATCACCTACACTTCTTCCTGTTATATAAGGAAAAGAACTCCCAATTTGCTTAGCTACTTTATTTGGGGTTTATAGTGAATTGTAGCTGGACACATCCCTAAATGATGTTGGGGTTTAGCATGTCTAATTTAAAGGAAGTCCCTGCAAAGCACAGCACATTCTAGATTCAGGTCACCTGCTTCCATCAAGTGATTTTCAAAGAGAGGAGTCAGGCGCTAAAGGACCTAGCATGAACCCCATGTTTCTGCTCCAAAAAGAATTTAAAAGGGGTGGCACCAAATAGGAATGGTAGGAGCACAACGTACAGGAGTGCCTGAGGGTACCATGGGGGAGGCTGTGCTCAGCAAACCGGGAGCTGCCACTCTCAGAGCTGAAAAATAAGCAGATAAAAGCCACTTTCCCAAGTCCCGCCCTGAGCCCAAACTCTGCTGAGGACAAACCATCTGACAGTAAAGGAAAGCTGATCCCACCAAGTCGTGTCACCTGTCTATTTAATTGCTCACTCATAAAAGTCACAGAGCGGTCTCTGAATGATCTAGTGGCCAATGAGTAAGTTCATTTAAGATTGCTATTGCTCTCTTATGCCGATCGCAGCCGCATCCATTCAAAAGCTTCTTAAATAGCCTTAAAGGAACGAAGTCCTTGGATTTGGTAAGCTGCTCTGCTTTTCTTCCCTCATCCGGTTCTCCACCCCCAAGCCAAGAGGGCGGATTGGAAAAATGAGATTTTTTTTTTTTAACTGAGAGCCTGGCTCCTTGTAAAAGCAAAACTGAGAAAACACACACAGGGCAGTGATGGAGAGAGCCCGACGACTGAAAAACAAAACCGTTTACCGTAGGCGGCGCCCGCAAGGGCTCGCGGCGCCGCCACCCGCCTCCCGCCTCCCCCGCCTCCCGCGCCTCCGCGGCCGGTGCGCATCCTCCCGGCAGGGGGTCGGGGAGCAGGTCCCGAGGTCCCAAGGTGGGCGCCGCGGGTGGGGACAGCGGCCGCCAGGGGCGCCCCCGCCCGCGCCCCCGCCCGGAGGCGGCGCGGCCTCGGCCCGCGGACCCGCCTGTGCAAGGCGTCCGGGCCTCCGGGGCCGCCGGGCTCGGGCCCCAGGGCCGCGCAGCCGGGGGTCCGCGGCCGCAGCCCGCGCCTCGCCCGGCGCCACGAGCGGGGGCCGGGGGCGCCCCTCCGCGGCGGGCGCAGGCCCAGCTCCCGCCCCGGCCCGCTCCCCCGGGGGCCGGCCTGGCTTCCTCGGCCCGCCCCCCGGCGCGCAGCCCCCGCCCCGGCCCGCACTCACGCTCCACGTCGTGCAGCTTGGCCCGCTCCTCCTCCAGCTTGCCCTTGAGGCTCTCGGCCTCGCTCTTCAGCGACGCCAGCGTCTGGTTCTCGTGCAGCCCGTCGGTTGCCATCTTCGCGCCGGGACGCGGCGGGGGGGGAAGCGGGGATGCGGGTGAGCGGGCGAGCGGGGGGCGGGCGGCGGAGGCCTGGCCGGCGAGCGGGCGGGAGCGGCCCCCGGCGCGGCTCCGGCTGCCTTCGCCCCGCCGCGGCCCCGCCCTCCGGCGCTGACGCGGGCGGTGCGAGCGGGGCCGCGGCGGTCGGCTCCCCCCCCCGTGGGCCCCCCCGCCCTCCGCGCCCCCCGCGGCCCCGCCCGGGTACCTGCCGCGCGCGCCCGGCGCCGTGCCCAGGGCGATGCCCGCCGCCCCCCCGCGGTCCCCGCGCCCCCCGCGCCCCCGCCCGGGCACCTGCCGCGCGCGCCCGGCGCCGGCCCAGGGCGATGCCCGCCGTGGCGCTGCTGCGCACCCCGCCCCGGGAAGCGGGGAGCGTCGTGCCCATTTCGCCGGCGCGAGAGCCGGGGCGCAGAGGTGAGGAGATGACCTGGCGGAGGACGCGCACGTACTGAAGGACCAAACCGGGATCCAGCCCGGGGCTGCCCGGCCCCTGGGAGCGGCCGAGGTCCCGGAGCACGGCCTTCCTGGCGCCCGCGTCCCCGGCACCCGTCTCGGCCCAGGGGGACTTGGTAGGCTGCCGCGCGGCTGCTTCCTGCAGCGCAGAGAGCGGGGAGTGCGCAGCGAGGCCCAGGCCGCACCACGGATGGACCCGGCCTCGTCCCGGGAAGCCCCGGTGGTCCGTCCCCCCCCCCCCCCCCCAGCGAACCCGAAACTTTCCTCCCTGTGCACTTACATAGAAGTCCTGGTGCCAGGCACTGTTCCAAGCACTTTGCGTTAATAAATCACAACAGTCACCTGAATGGATACTGTTATCCCCATTTTACAAATGAGGACACTGAGGCACAGAAGGGTTATATGATTTGCTTGAGTCACACTCCCAAGAAAGAGGTAAAGGTAGGATTTGGACCTAGACAATGTGGCTCCATTCAGCTACATGCCTGGCGACTTAAGTGTGGAGGAGCCAATGCATTGCTTCTCCCTTTTGCCTGTCCATGACCTTGCATGTATGTGTGTATGTGTGCAAAATGGGAAGGTGGATTAAGGTTACAAACTCTAGAGCATGGGACGCTTGGGTAGCTCAGCGGTTAAGAGTCTGCCCTCTGCTCAGGACGTGATTCTGGAGTCCTGGGATCAAGTCCCGCATTGGGCTCCCGTGTGGAGCCTGCTTCTCTCTTTGCCTCTCTCTGTGTCTCTCATGAATAAATAAATAAAATCTTAAAAAAAAAAAAACAACTCTAGAGCAAACATTCCCAAACAGGATTTGGGGGGTTGTCCTCAGCCCTCCCTCCCTGAGGAATCCAGCTTCTACTTGCTGTCCTGGGCAGCTGTTTACCAAAGAAAAGTTGGAAGTAATCTGTATTAATCTATACATGGTCGTCTAGAGGTTAGTTTCTGAGCTCCTCAGTTTCCTTCTCTGGAAAATCTACTTCCTAGGGCTGTTAGGAGAATTAAATAAGATCATGTGAATGAACTTTTTAGCAGACTTCTCCATCATAGCAGATACTATTAACTACCAGCTCCCCTTTCCCTTCCCATCAGTAGTTCATCAATTATTCTCAGTATTTAGCATGATTACTGGTATATTGTAGGTACTCAGTTAATGTTAGTTCATTAAGTGGATGTATAAAACAGAATATATGCAATATATAATTAAAAATAAAATATATCAATATAAAAATATAAATGCTTAGATATATACAACTATTTATAAATGCAAAACTATTACGTCTGCTTCAGAGTTTGCAGAGCAAAAGTTTAAGAGCATAAGTTCTAGCTAGGTCATATCGCCTGAGGATAAATCTAGGCTGTGTTGTGTGGCCTTGAGTGATTTACTTAACTTCTCTGCATCAGGCTTCTTATCTGTAAATGGATAACATCTCAGAAAGGCCTCATCAGGGGCTACGCAGGGCATTCAGACCTGTGCCTGACACACAGTATTTGCTCATTATTATTAAGGCTCCCTGATACACTTGAGCAATTCACATGAAGTAATTTAAATGAAACACTAGGGCCTGGGAGGCACTTCTCAGAAGGCCTAGCCCAATAGCCTCCTCTCCTCATTTCCTTGTGATGCCTTATGGCCCATCATGGGATGTGTGCCTGCTTCAGGGTCTGCCTGTGTGTCATTTGGGGTGAGCAGAGATTCACACTGGTGTGTGCCCTCCTCTGGAGGTTCTCTCTGTTAAACAAATCCCAAACACCCTCCATTCTGAAGGGTCTACCATCTAGAGATAAGGCCACTCAACTTCTTAATAGATGGGAAAGTTTGCAAAGAGCCTTTCTGTACTTCGGTTTTAACTCTTTTTTATAGGTAAGGAAGCTAGAGATGAGAAAAGTTGAGGTCTCCTACATTTTGGCAGGGGTGGAGTTACAGTTCCCTGTTCATGAAAAGGGTCCACTGGGGGCTACGTTTGCAAACACCCAGGTAAAAATTAGCTACCAGTCATTTGGATGTCTCACCCACAACAGGGTGTCTGAATATTTGGGAATGAATATTGGGAACCCTCAAGTGCTTGTGGAGATAGCCTGTGACAGTTTCCTGAAAAATATCTCCAGGCCAGAGCCTCTGCCCTGGGGAGAATCTATGATGCTGCAGGATATGACGATGGGGACTCTGGGCTCCTTGTGTTCACAGAAGAAGTTGTTTAAAAAATAGAAGAGCTAAGATGAATAAATAGCACTTCTCCAGGATGGTAGGGCCACCGGAAAGCAGGCTTATTTTAAGAACTGAACGTCCTCCGTTTGTCGATGTGCAGAGCCATGTTTAGAACACAATGTGCTGCAGGGAGAAGTCCATTACACTAAGCCTGATCTTGTGATATCAGGATTATTATGCTGTCCCAAAGCCTGTATGTCACTCTGGGCTGTTTACTTGCCATTTGCTTTACAATGATTTTTTTTTACAATGATTTTTTTTAAAGATTTTATTTATTTATTCATGACAGAGAGAGAGAGAGAGAGAGAGGTAGAGACAGAGACACAGGCAGAGAGAGAAGCAGGCTCCATGCAGGGAGACTGACATGGGACTCGATCCCGGGTCTCCAGGATCACACCCCCGGCAGAAGGCGGCCCCAAACCGCTGGGCCATCGGGGCTGCCCACGGGGATATTTTTTTAAATGTAATTACTATCAGGGGTTACAATGGGACCAAGAGAATTAATACTGCCTTTTCCTCTTCAGTTGGATAAAATGTAAAAATCACCTTTCCTCTTTTTTTTTTTTTTTTTAATGGATGTACTGCCCCAAGGCACCAGCGCCTGGTCCTCCCAGCCTGTGCGTGCAGAACCCTGGCCAGCAGGTGCCCCACAGCCTCCCAGAAAGGATGGGGCGGCTCACTGGAGGATGAAGCCTGGCTGGTGTGGAGGCAGCCCCGGCGGGGGTCTCTGGGGAAGAGCCGGTGGGTATGGAGACATGAACTGTGCAGAGAATCCTTGCGGGGGGGGGGGGGGGTTAAAATGTGTGGCTAATTGGGGGGTTCCAATTGGACTTTTGGAGAAGCATGTTTTACCATTTTTGGCCAGGTGAGGGCTCTGCTCAGCCATAATACTGCTTTGCAAATCCTCTTGAGAAAGGACTGATTTCTGGGGCTTCCGCCATTCTATGGGCATTTTGCTGCAAAACCTGAATAAAGCCTGTGTGTAGCCACCTCTGGTGAGGACTGATTTGTGTTATTTGAAAAACATAAGGATTTATATTCAGTCAGTCCTTAGTCCTCCCTGAAATCTTAGGCCTAAGGAACACTTTTCCTTGAACCTAACTTTGGCTGCTACGGAAGCCCTGAAGGGTTCAGTCTTCAATAGAGCTGTTCCTAGGGAAAGCTGGACCATGGCCTTTGGAGGGGCATTTCCAGGCTGTTTGTTTGCCAGAGTCTGTTTTTTCTTGGTTGTTTGCCTAGCAGACAGACAGCAGTAGCAAGAAGCATTAGCTCTAAAAAAGTAGCAATAGCTAAAACATTCGTTGAACACAGCCTGTTTTAAATTTTTTTAAATGGCACTTACGATTTCTGCACATGTTGAACAGTAGCTGAGCTGTTGAGATTTCTTGAAAACGGGTCTCAGAGCCCGTTGTTTGAAACATTTGTCACAGGAGCCAAACACATTAACGAGAAAGGTCTGATCACACATTTTTTTATCCAAAATGAGGCTGAAAGAGAGAGAGAGAGAAAGGGATGTAGGTGCATGAGAAAAGCCAACAGAAACAGCTTTTTAAAATCTCATCTTCCTTTGGTCACGATGGTTGCTCAGACTTTCTACATGTGGGATAAAGTATATGAGTTAATTTATAACCTTTGATTTATTACAACGTGCTGGGTCAACACCAACTTGTTTATTTAATCAGTAAGAAAGCATCAGACAATAGGTTTTCTGGGGTTACCATTTAACTGCCTATTTTGGCAGGTTACAGACATGGACACAATTGATCTCTGCAGCACAATATTAATCCTGTGGGGCTCCACGGTGGAGAGCATTATTATAATGGATACTATAGTTTAAAACTTAAAAAAAATCCTCCCCTGATGGTAAACATTTGGAATAAAGATGAGAGTTAGAAAATGGCAGAGCCTAATCTCAACCAATATTGTAAGGCTGAGTAAACACAGTATTGGTTCTCTGCAAGGGACACATCCCACTTATTAAACATTTGACAGTCACAGACCTAGGGCTCCCGTCTGTCCATCCCGAAGTCAACAGACAGGCCCAGGCCACTGAAGGGAAGGCAAACTTACAGAAGCAAAACTATGTGGTGGCTGAGGGTGCTAGCTCTGGCTGACCAGATCCTGGTGCCACTACTTGAGCAAGTTATTCGAGCTCTCTGGATCTTTGCTAATCAATCAAATGGGGATCTTAACATCCGCAGTCACAGGATCATTGGGGGATTTATAAAAGTGCATAAAGCTTAGCTCAAGGAGGAAATAGAGTGAGTGCTCCATAGATGTTAAGCTGCCCTCAGAGTGGCTATGGTAGCAGCGACAGCAGGGGCGGGGGATGAGGCTGGAGTTGTGGAAAAAGCAGAGGTGAGCCTGTGACCACATTTCAGGCAGAACACGATGAAGGCCTTACATAAAGCAATGATGTA